GTGTGTGTAGGTGCAATGAATAAGGAAGATGGATATTATGGTTTAACAAATACAAAGCATAAATTACGAAATTTCTCCTGTGCCCAGGATCAAAAACATTTTCAGAAGCTGTGTCACTAAGGGGTTAAACATGACACTCGTGTTGGTCTTGTGACCATTTCCCACACTTCCTGTTAATGTCTTTTTTTTCCCATTTCCTGTGGTGGTGAAATGTGTCCTCCTGTCCTTCCTAGGTGGTGTATTACACAGAGATGTCCCGAGTGTTTGGAGAGCTGGCCCAGCAGGTGGATGAGGACCAGCCCACAGATGCTGAAAGAGAGCGGGAGAATGAAGAAAAGCTAGCTGTGCTACGTTCTTTGTCCATTGTAGCGGATGACTGACACCGGCGCCATTGATCGGACTGGCAAACTGTTATTTGGAAAAGATGTTACCACTGGTGACCCCGGCATGAGCACTAACCAGATCCATGTTAGGTAAATAAGTTACTCGCAGCATGAAACCCTCGCCGGGCCTGTGCTGGCACTAAGTATTCACCACTGACATTCCATGATGCCTGACAATAGCTAATACACATCTCGGCACAATAACCCAAATCTAATATCCATCATAGTCTCATACTGTCTTACTCTGTATTTTCCTGTCACGTTGGAAACGGCAAATCTGTGGAATACGGGAAGATTGAACTTACTCCTAAAGTGCCTTTTGTGAGAGTTTTACAAAAAGTTGACTGTTATGGAAAAAAGCTTCTGGACATTGTCTTCATGTATCAGATGATCTCAGATGAGAACTGTGCGCTTTGTCCTTGCAACATAGAATGAGGATGGTTGTTGCTCTGGGCTCCGAAAACGGTTTTACTTTCAGACCATCTGACAAGTGAGGACATATGTCGGTAATCAGACCTTAACAGATCCCAGGAGCTGGACCTGCACGGCAAATATCAGGATCGTGTTGTGCAGCACACATAGGCAGAGCGTGTACAGACATTCCTCGCTTTTGGAAACATTTCCCATATATTCTTATTCCAATGACAACCATAACATTCTGGATTTCCCATCACTTTTAGCACCAGGACAAGAAGAGAGACCCTCCCCAGCGGGGTATTTAGACAGTAATAAAGACCTAAGGGTCCATTTCCATTGCGATAATGTGTGTGAACGGCACCTCTAAAACGCATGTGCAGCACAGCTCATTGCACGGTGCACTATTTCCATGTGCATTGCTGTGTGCTTCAGCCCATCCGCAGCATTGTGGCGTGAATGGGCCCTCTTAACACTTCTACTTCATCCAAAACATACAAAGAACATTTTGGGCTTTAGATTCATCTAACGTGACCTGGACTTTGATACTCGCCATGATGGTCTGGCACCTCGGATCTGTGGAGTCTTTACTATTTATCTCCTATAATATTTATTGACGTTTATGTATTTTTTTTTTTCTTTAACATTCAGTCCTATGGTTATGTCTTTGTCAGCCAATCCCTGCGACAAACAGGACAGCGCCGAGCTAAGAGGATGTTGTCATGTCAGCCTGGAGCATTGTTGTGGATCGTTAAGCAGTTTGTTCCACTGAATATGTTGTAAGCTTCATTTATACAGACCAGAATATAGAAAGAAGAAATGTCATTGACTTCCTCAATATTTGGGCAAATGTTCTTACCCCTTGCGGGGGGGGGCTATCCCCACACTGCAAGGGTTATCCCCACACTGCAAGAGTTAAGTGCTCGTTTTGGTCCAGGGAGGAAAATAACAAAGATATACTCACCCGATCCAGACAGAGCGGCTGGCTGTTAGAGGGCTCCCTCCAGCCTCTCTCCTCTGCTGCAGCGATGGTATGTCCCTCAGCATTCGCACCTCTGTACACTGTATAGGACGTGATGAGTCGCAGGACGTTAGCTGGACTGGAGGGGAAGACAGGCTAGAAGAACCGGCCTAACAGCCAGACGGCTTCCAGAATCGGATGAGCATAACTTTGCTATTTTTGCACCAAGACGAAAATGAGCACTTAACCCTTGCAGTGCCGAGGTAGCCCCACTGCAAGGGTTACGAAAACTTTTGCCCAGAGTTCTTTTAAAGGCATAGCATATCTTTTGCAAAAAAAGTGAATAAATGCACCGACAATAATAAGATGAAAAATGCGCATTTATGACAGCTTTGCATTGAAGTCTGCAGAGCATTGCAACCGCAATCAGTGCTACAGGTTCCTGGATCGTTTACATCCCAGTCCCAAGTCTGTTCAGAGGTGCGGAGCTTCTGCTATGGGGCTAGAGAAAGTGAACAATGCACTGATGCACTACAAGTGCACTGATGTCAACACATTTCTGCCGATGTGATATGTGAATCCCTCTGCTGCGGTGGGTGCACCCTATGGGTGTAACATCAAAACATGTTTCCAAAGGTGGACTATGCCTTTATTATTGAAAAGATTCAAATACATGACAAAGGGGAAAGTGAGACACACTGAAAATTAGCAATTAGTTCCATTCCTTGACTCTGTCATTGAGCATTCATAGGGATCGTCTTCTACACTCCATGTTATAGGCAATGGCAGCTAAGCTACATTATGGAAGTTCCTATACTGGTCAGTGCAATCAAGGGGCGCTAGCGCTGTGTGAACAGCATCCACTTGGCTACACCACGGGTTGAACATTTATAAATTAACCCCTTAGTTCTATAACAGTGCTTAGGGCAGCTTTTACTAGAAATAAAACCCTTAGGTGATGCAACTTTGGCAGATCCACTGGTGCTGACCCATGAAACCTGCAGCAGAAACAAATTGTTACCTACAGCCACCAGTATATTTTAAAGTGGAACTGCACTCACACCTTATTGTTTTGCAATAGGGGGCGGAGAAGGGTTAGAACTAGGAATGCACCAATACTGATACTAGTATTGGTGCCGATACTGAGTATTTGGGAGAGTACTCGTACTCGTACAAATGCTCCAATAACAGAACATCCGGTCAAAGGAAGATTTCCTCTGACCGGCAGTGCCATAGGGGAACATGGAGCTGTCTTCCTGATTGGCTGGGAAGCCGGCTCCATGCTGATTGGCTGGGGTTGGGGTTTCCCGGCTAATCGCAATCAGGAAGGGGGATGGCATGTCATTAGGTGCATTAGTTCTCCTTTAACTGGACTTGAAATGTAAACAATTGTTTCTATGAGCACACTGTGTTACTCCATAACAAATGTAAGTGTCTCTGTGTCCTAATGGTGATTCCTAATGTTGCCATCCCACTATGTAGCTGCAAGCAGGTGTTGGTGAGAACAGAGGGGTGCGTGTCCCTTTTTAAAATCAGAGTCAGGAATGTGTTTTTGGTGTAGTAACATTTGTTTTTCTGCTCTGCCTCTGAAATTTCCGTATCAAACGCTAAAAGAAAGTATGACTATATCATATCCTACCTCACATTGTATGTCCCTTCTTAAGGGAGCAAGGCCAACCCTCACCATCCGTCCAATAACGTTGCCCTACATGACCTTGCTGTGATAATGTGATTGTATGACCAGGAGCTATGTCGCCCTCTTGTGGACAGTGGACAAACTGGTGGCATTTCACAACTGCATCCCCAACACAGATCGTTTTCAAGGTTTCTAGATGGAAACAGAGCTTTGTTAATTGGTGACCACTGTAAATATTCACACTATTATTATTATTTTCCTGTAAATCTGCTTGGAAAACAGGAAATTGTGGCTTTCTGAAGCCCACGAAATATATATATTTTTAAACAACATTTTTAAGGCCCAAACTACAAGTGCAATTTTTAACCAGCGTTCAGTGACATGATCAGATATCTCCCTCAACGGATTGCAGATAGACCTAATCTCCTTCAGTAGCGATAACTACATAGTTATATATTGCTGCAGCTGTCTGCAGTTCATAATGGGGGTTGATCAATATCAGGGGATCACTATAGAAATTGATGGGGAGCGGTTTACATTAAGGCCTCATTCACACAGCTAAGAGTCGGCCCGTACAGATCCACGCGGCGTGCACGGCCGTATCGGGCCGCTCCCGGGAAGGACAGGTGCTGTCTGTGGTTGCACGCAGCAGCCTGTTCTTCCCTAAGGGAGTACACCGACGTACGCTCACCCGAACTGCACATGGATTGCGGGTGTCGATACTCGTACGCAGACAGGATGGATCCTGTCTGCGTCCGAGCACGGACACCCGCACATATGTGCAGTTCAGGTGAGCATACGGCCGCGTATTCCCATAGAGAAGAACAGGCTGCTGCGTGCAACCACAGACAGCACCTGTCCTTCCCGGGAGCGGCCCGATACGGCCGTGCACGCCGCGTGGATCTGTACGGGCCGAATCTCAGCAGTGTGAATGAGGCCTTAGACCATTTCGGGTCATGCAGCTAGCTACATACTAAACACTAGCTAAAGGGCCATAAAGTTGCCTGTGTTATTTGTTCCTGGATTCCCATTTCCATACCCCTGTGTGTCCATTGCAGGAACACAACAGCTAGGCAGCTGCTAACAAGCCAGGTCTTCTAATAAAGCACTCATTGCACTCTTTGTGATCTCAATGTTAAGTAACGTGGAGGGCTTGTTCACACCATGTCCGGACTAGAGCCACACCCGAACATTTTTTGTCCTTTGCGGGGGGGGGGTGATGCTGCATGCACTACTTTTTCTGGGCTGGACATGGTTTGAACAAGCCCTGAGTGCCCTTTTAGGTATAGTGCACCTTTTTTTGTTTCTCCAATCCTCTGACCTAAATGATCCCACCCTCACCCCCTCCACAGATCTATACTTGGCAAGATCCAAGGGCCGCTGCAGTGCTGCTAATTGACATCCAGCACTGCCGTGTCTCCTCTGACTGTGTCCGTCTCCTGGCTGGGAGTCGGCTCCATAGAAGTCTATGGGGCTGTAATATGCAGGTGTGGCCAGCAGAGGGAGCAGTGCAGAGATGGATGCAAGTGAAAACCAAATCATGCCCATCGGATCTTGGGAAGTATGAATCTGCAGAGGGGGGCAGGAGGGATCATTTAGGACAAAGGTGGGGGAACAAAAAGGATAAGTGCGCATTGTTTTAAAGTGCACTTATGACTGTTATCTTTTTGAGTGCACAATTAAAGCGTATCTAAACCCAAAAACAAAATTGGAATCTGTTGCAGCTTACCAGTCCTTAGATGTGGTGGCTGCATTAGTGTTCCTTTTAAGGTTTTTATTTATATCTGTTACTCTTTGACTACAATTCTTCCTGGCTACACTCCTCCACTGTATCTATGGAGGCAGCCATAGTTGTCCCGCAGGCTGGGCTTTGTCTGCCTTTGTTCATCACCATTACATGGTGGATTGATGGAACTATTAGTTAACAAAAGACAACATTTTTAATGCTTTCTTAAAGGAGAACTATGAGGTTGATTTTCACTCAACCTCATAGTTCGAGCCGACCTGTGACAATGAAACTGTGACACTTCGGCTCCAAAGATCGGGAAGTGAGCGAACACATACCGTCGCTCGCTCACTTCTCGATCTATCACTGCAGAGAGCCGTGACTGTCGCTCATGGCTCCCTGCAGGGATTTCCCCCCTCCCCGCTCCGATCCTCCATTGCTGACTGGAGGAACGGAAGTGGAGGGGGTGGGTACAGCTGGCTCTGCCTCTAGATTGGCAGAGCCAGCTGTCAATCACGCAGCTGGGTGGATCTTGACAGTAATGTCGGGATCCGTCCCGGCTGCGGCGTCTCAGTATATAGTGAGCTGTAGCTCGCGGTATGCTGAGCTTTGGGTGATGGGAGAACGCTAGTTTATGTCCTCCCGTTACCCTTAGGATGA